TTACAGGCAGTTGAGTTTACAGTCGTTTTTTTTTTTTTGAACGCACCAAAACTTGCGTTCCGGAGTAGATTTTACTGGCGTTTCAAACGCCAAATGCTTGTAAACGAGTGTAAATGCTTGTAAACACGGTTAACCGTTTTTTTGTAAGTATTTGTGTTTAGAAGCGTTTTTTAACTGTTCCATGTCCAGATGGTGTCCAGAGCATTTTTTCACCATCAGAAATGCATGCAAAGTGTTTTCCATGTATTCAAATGGACCTAGTATACCAGCTCAGTCAGTTCCAGGTTTCACGTGAAGGATAAAAAGGTAGAGCATGCTGCATTATGCTCATGATGGGATCCATAGTGAATACAACCAGAAAAGACAGGTAATCTCTCAACACATACTGCTCTCACTGCTTCTGCTCTCTCTATTCCTCTCAAAATGTCTGAAATAGTTATTTTTTTACTATTTTTCAGTGAATTCTGGCCATTTGGGAGGGTCTCCGGAGGTTATCTTTTAAAAACGCTTCTAAACGCAAACGCGCATAAACGCGGTATGCAAATGTGACTAAACTGCCGTTTTTTAACCCATGTTTTCCAGCAGTCAGCTTCCGACATTCAGAAGAGTTTTCCAAACGCCCCGTGTACATGAGCCCTAAATGTTAATTTTATTTATGTACTGTTTTTAACTGTCACATTAATCCCTGTTTTGGCATCCTTAGACGTAATGATCTGAACGAACGATCCTTCACAAAATCAGGCAATATGATCAGATCTATGACTTTTTGAAAAGACACACACTGAAAACTGAAACTGAAATTATTCTGATTTGTCTGGACAGAAAATCCCATTATAGAAAAGTAAATGATTCAATATGATCATTTATGGCGTGAGGTCCATTGAATGATCATTTTTCAATCTTCCGATCAAACAGTAAATCTATCGGTAATACAATTGTATATGAAATCATTCTCTGTATGGCCACCATTAGAAAGCCAATCTTTAGATTTTAGGGACAGGTCCATGTAATTCTCACTGTGAGTATGAGTAGTCAATAAACCCTTGTTCCTGCACGTAGTTTGTAGCTATCTATGTACACAAGAAACATTTGCTCATTACATATGCAGGATCTGCTGTCTGTGTTTAGTAGAGCTGCACAATGCTTTTGCTGTAGGCTAACTTATGAAATGAGGCCAGACTTGTGGCACATTCCCCATGAATAATATTTTGAATGAAAGATTACTTTAACAATACTGGTTTCTGTAATGAAAAAAAAATTCCATTTAAGAAAAGGCACACACATGACAAATTCAGGTTCACAATTTATACACTGCTATATATGACCCAGTTTATATGCTTACATAACACAAGTAGGATGACACCTTGACGTGGTGGTGTCGTTTCATAATTACCTGCAAATGTATACAACAAAATTTTTAACAAATGCCAGAAGTGAGGTTTTTTAAATGCCGGTTAGCTGAATTGAATGCTGGGTAATCTTTGTATTGCTCATATATATGTGAATTGTCCCACCCACGTGGGAGCTATAAACAGATTTGAGAGGCTATGCTGTCTTGTTTTCTAAGGAAAACCATTCATTGCAGATATGTGTGTCTTGTCGAAACTATTCTTACAAGAAAAATATCAGCTTCCTGACATGGAAAGTTATTGGTATTCACAAATAGTGCACTTCTTAAATGCTTTAAAAGGCACTTCAGATTTCACTTCCTCCCTTTCAATGGAATACTTATATAAGAACTTCGACAAGCACACCGGCCACATATCTAAACTTTATAATATGCACACCGGCCACATATCTAAACTTTATAATCATTGACTTTGGGATCAGCTAAGCTGTTCTATATGGAAAAATGGGAAGAAGACCAGGGTGAGATGTTGGACTTGAAAGATTGCTGAAAGATGGCACAGTAAATATCTAAAATATACATTAATACCTCTTTAATTGAGGTGTACTATAAGATTTTCCTCAGGTGGTACATGGTACTGGTGAGAATAGCATCTTGTATCCCAGGAGTCTCCCCATTGTGCTTTAGGGGATGTGGCCTGGAGGATACAGTGTTTCATACATGGTGATCCTGCCCAAAAGTGAAGAGGTTTTGGATCCGCATGTATAACGTCTATTACTCCCTTACCCAGGTGAACCTTATCAAGTCTCCCCAACAGGATCTATTAGGATGCCCACTGAAGGGTACACCGGCACACACAGAGACTAATAGCATTTATCTTTATAGCAACCAATATATCTATTCCCCCACAATTCCATTTGATCTATTGAAGGCCAAGCTATCATGGATTATGATAAACTAATGCCTTTCGGCACTTTTGAATGATAAACTGGCCTTCTCTGAAAAAATCTAGGATCCCTGGATGAAATAGCTTATGGATTCCTCCTGAGATGGATAGGGTGCACTTTTTCCTCCCGTTTTTCTTTCCTAACATTTTCTTTTTCTGTTCTTTCTTTTTCCTGATTTCTTTATATGGCTCTTAGGCTAACAATTACTGTTTAATATGTAGCATGTGATGAATATAGGCTTGCACACAGTGGGAGTGAAGCCTAGCTAATGCGGTTAAGTCAGAAGTATACTTTGCACTGCTATTCATCCACTAAAGCCGTCCATAGATGTTTGAATCTCAGCCAGTTCAGCAGGGACAAGCTGAGATTCAAATCAAGTATGGGCAGGCTGAATGCACCCAAGTTGATCGAACAATCAACTAGGGTACAACCAGCCTGTCGGATTTTACATGCAATTATTACTAGTGGCTACTACAGCCAGTAGCAGTAATCACTGTGTTCTCCTGGTGGGGATGGCTTCCCCTGCGGGGAGATCACAATGGCTCCGCGGGAGGGATTCTCCCATCAACACATACTGTGTCAAAGGGGGAATCGACCCATATTTGCAGGAAAGAAAATCTGTCCATCTATGGCCGGCTTAAATAAGTAGAGTGTAGGAAAGACTATTTCTGCAATAATGCTATTCCAATTCTATACCCTCCTCACATCTGTGACATTTTTGTAGGGGTGGTGTAGATTTATGTCTGTGTTTTAATAACCCAATTGTTTAATACTTATATTTCCTGTACTGTGTTCTTAGGAAAGCTGTATGTATTGGAAAACAGTTTATTTTCTTGTAGTTCTGTATGCATCTGGAGCATACTTTTTGCCATATGGTCCAATGTTGGATTCTGTACTTTCTTGAAAATAAAAACTGGGGGGAAAAAAAAATAGGGAAAAAAACATTTATATGAATAAGCTTTCACCTCGAAGTCCCATATTTCTTAAAACTGTTGTGCACAAAATCACTCAAAGGTGTGACTCTCCTGATTCAGGTGCTCTCTGGCCAGATCAAGCAATTATCTCAAGTCTATGGTTCCAATGCCCTGCTCTCAGAATGGAGACAAGCAATTCAGGGCAGTCAAATTGTGCATGAATGAGTAACTGTTCTCATACATCTTTGGGCAGAAAGCCTTATAAGCCTATAGAGAGAAGTGGGGAGGTATGATCTAGACACTTTCAGCATCAGGGTATTTCTGGGGAAACAACAGCAATCAGACAACATGTCTAATCGCTTTTCCTGAGAAGCCTCAGTTGGTGGATACCTTACAGACATAAGCTCATTATCTGATCTAGCCTAGAGCTGTTTAGCTGTGGACTGTGCAAATGTCACCATTGTTTACAGCTTTTCTTTCAAAATTCATGTTTTGCAATCTGGGTACTGCTTGAAAATAAATAGTATACACCACTAATATTTCAAATGGAAATTCATACAAAGATTCGTATGAAATTATCAGTCATTTTCCCCATACATGCTAACCAGTGTGGTTAGAGGAATCTACACTTCTGGCTATTGTATTCAGGTAACCTCAGCACCTGCAACTGACTGAATACCCAAACATTGACTGCATCTGTTTGGATGTAGTCACTGTTCAGTTGCAAATTTTACACTCAGCTACTTCAATTTTGAAATTTACTTTTGCTGCATCACACCTTCAATTTTGTACAATTCAGCAAGCCTCAGCTGAAAGTCGAACTGTGTATGGCCAGCTTTAGATGTAACACTGTGAGTATGTAAGTGGCTAGACTGCTAGCAAATCAAATTTCTCTATGGCTTCATTCATACAGGGGCTGAGGTTTGTAGTCCATGAATGGGCTGTGGCTTTAGTGGCCAAGTGGTGCATACAGGCAGCCAATGTAATTGTATGGGGACACAGCAGCTGCATAGTAACAACCGCTTGGCCCAATTTGACAGTCGTACAGGTGAGAGGTCCCAGACGCACAAGTCTGCAGTTATGCCCTCTCACCCAGATGCCTGTCAAATTGTGATGATCCGCTGTGTCCATACAGCCACTGCGTCCCCATACACTTAAGTGGGCTGCCTGTACCTGGCGACTCAAGCTGCATAAACACACAGTCCACTCATGGACTAAAGGTCTCAGCACCCATGTGAATGAAGCCTAACTGGTTTTCTTTTACCTTCAGGAACTTCTGTATAGTATCTCTTTTTTCCTTTTTCTTTCTTCAAATATCAGTTTAAGGACCATTGTTTTGCGATGGTAACTTTCAGGCAATCTTCTAAGATGTAACAACTGAACTTCTAGCACAAACTAGAGCTCAGGGGCGGACTAACCATTCGAGCACTTGGGCATTGACCGAGGGCCCAGGGTCAGTAGGGGCCCCATGAAATGCCTCTGATACCTTTTATAGGCTTTTTTGGGTGTGCTTTGAGTGTGGGCAAGGATACAGGGGCCCCATGATCACCTATTGCCCGGGGGCCCCATGAGTTGTCAGTCCGCCCCTGCTAGAGCTACAAAACTTCTGCTGTCATTTGTTTGTTGCTCAATGTTAAACATTTTGTAAGATCTCTACATACCATTCACTTTTTATAGGAACTTGAAAGTGATCAAAAAAGTTAAAAATACTATATACAAGTTAGCAATATTTAGGGCAACAAGTACAGTAATTTGTAAGATGAACGTTTAATACGTTAATATATTTCTTACCTTGCTGTTGCAGCTTATAATCTGTAGAATAAGCCTTGCCAATCATATTCCATACAGGTCGGAGGCAGCCAAAAAGTCCTTCTAAAAAGCCACCATTGCCACTTCCCGAGCGGCTGAAATGTATCTTGATGTCTTCGGTGCCACTATTACTGCCTCCATCTCCTGAGTGGCTGGTGCCCTGAGGTGCAGTATTCTCCATTTCATCTTGGTCCCTCAATTGTAGAACACTGTTTTCAAACTGGTCTCTTGAGTCCTCACTGATGGAGGTTAGGACAGCTGCAGTTACTGGGCTACTGGCATTTTCTAGGTTATCACACTTTTCCTGGTTCTCTGGAGCCTGAAGGTGACTTGTCGTGGCTGGATCACCAAACCCCACCAAGTAATCTTTATCTTCCCGTATAGTGTCAACAATAAGGTTGGGAGAAGATGACCAACTCAAGGGCTTGTGCGGACTGGCCATGTTACCATTGATGTGCATGGGGCAGCCACCCCCAAGACACCGTTTCTTCAGGTGGTTCCCTCAGCTCTGCTTTGTTTTGGAATGTAGATCACATGGATCTGAAAACAGAAGAAGAAAAACAGTTATAATTATTAATAATCTATAAAAAATATAGGCATGCAGTGGAGTGCTGATGTGTGCATGCTTTTGTTTAAAATAACACACAGACTTGTGTAACAAGGCAAACTGCAATTACTTTAAAGTGTTACTAAACCCAGGACCCTGCATTCACTATATCTGGTCTCCCGCAGTACACACAACATGAAATGCAATTATTTTAGTAAATATAAACTGCTAAATACCTTTTCTCATCAGCAGTTAGAGCAGTCTTGTGACTTCAGCCAAGCACTGTTTAAAGCTTGTAGGATGAGTTTCCTTTTTGCTTTAGGAGGTTGTGAAATCTCTGACCCTCTGTCTGGACAGTGCCAATTGGCAACGTGCTGATCACATGCACTCTCCCAAGAAAAGAAAAAAAACCTCTCTAGCAATACACACCAAACTGAGCATGTGCATGTGACTACAGATTCAGTCTGTATCAGGTGATAATTTCAACTAGAGGAGGGGCAGAGGAGAAAGAATCAAACAGCCTTTTTACACAATGCAGAGGATTAACCCTGCTCTAACTGCTGATGAGAAAAGGTATTTAGCAGTTTATATTCACTAAAATAATTGCATCTCCATGTTGTGTGTATTGTGAGAGACCAGATATAGTGAATGCAAGGTTCTGGGTTTAGTATCACTTTAAAACTGAAGCAATGGAAAACAGCATGGTTGGAATAAAGCAAAGAACCTGATTGGTGGCCATAGGACCCCTCCAGTTTTCATGAGACATTCTGTTCATACATATATATGTATAAATGTGACTATATTCATTGCCCATGTGCATAAATCCTATTTAGTTATGCTTTATACACAGGGACAACTAATGAATATTTTAAATGTCTGAACAATTCCTGGTGACCTTCAAGACTTACTGCTGCGTTGTAAGTAATAACAGAAAGCTCTGTGTATGACGTAGTTCTCTGCAATCTACAGATACCTTAGAATGGGTTAAATGAGAGAATATTCTAAAGCCATTTTATTTGTAAAGTGAGGTTAAAGTACATACAAACAAAAAGACGAGTAAATATGGGTTGATAACGCTAAAGGTGGAGCTGGCTTTAGAGTACTGGCTGCGTGCAGTGCTCTTTCAATTACCCAGAATGCACTGTAAAGGAGTTAACAGAGCGTGACTTTATCAGAGCACAACCTCTGGTGACAGCTGCCTACCAAGGCCTGTCCTTAGGTGGAATAAACCCATTCAACTCGAAGTTCATTAGCGATGTTCTGCAGGTTTAGGAGTCTGTGAAGACAACCCTGCTTAATGACATACCCCGGAGTCCATCCACAGCACTGTCTGTATTTTGACATTTTCGGGCTCTTAGCGACGTCTGTAGTCCGTTTTTCAAATGAAGATTTGGAAATGCAAATTTGGACTACAAATGCCAAGTGCCCGGAAACAAACATATGATACTATAACAGAGTAGATTAGGAAATGATCTAGAGTTTCTAAAAAATAGAAAATACATTTGAAACTATAAAATGTCTCTTTTTTTGGAAACAGGATTCTTTTTTCTGCAAGATCGCCAATCCCTATAGTTCAGTGGTCTCCAAACTGTGGCCCGGGGGCCAGATTTGTTCCTTTGCTTGCCTAATCTGGGTATTATTCCTGCCACTGACACCAAAAGTGGGACATAATTCCTGCCACTGACACCAACAATGGAACACTATTCCACACACTGGCACCAACGATAGGGCACTATTCTTTCCACTGACACCAACAATGGAACACTATTCCACACACTGGCACCAATGATGGGGCACTATTCTTTCCACTGACACCAACAATGGAAACACTATTCCACACACTGGCACCAATGATGGGGCACTATTCTTTCCACTGACACCAACAATGGAACACTATTCCACACACTGGCACCAATGATGGAGCACTATTCTTTCCACTGACACCAACAATAAAAAACACTATTCCACACACTGGCACCAACGATGGGGCACTATTCTTTCCACTGACACCAACAATGGAACACTATTCCACACACTGGCACCAATGATGGGGCACTATTCTTTCCACTGACACCAATAATTCATCCCAATGAGACCAATGATGGGGCATTATTTACTTCCACTGGTCACAGTCCAGCCCCCTAACGTATGAAGGTCAGCAAACTGGCCTTTTGTTTAGAAAGTTTGGAGACCCCTGTTATAGTGGAATTAAAGACTATGTAAAACCTCACCTTGTAAAGCAACCCATTCAGTTTAAATAGAAATGAAAGGCAAAACATTTATGTATACACATAAAAAACATAAATACCCTTTTTCTTTTTTTACAAGTGATCACATACCTTCTCAGCTGCATAATGATCTCAGAAAGGAGAAACACCAATACACTGGTCTTCCCAGTAAATGACTGTTCAGGGATTGGGGGGGGGGGGGGTGTCAGCATAAGCCTGATCATTGGATTGGCTTCCAACACAGCCAGAAAACTAACCACACTAGAATGAATGTGCTCTCATGCCTAGTGTGGTCAGCTTTTATTAGGAAGTTATAAAGACTGTCAGGAGCACCAGGTATTTTATACAGAGGAAGCAATACAAAGAGAGCGGATTACTTTTTCATACAAGTACAGCAGGCACATGTCAGGAATATGAAATGTTGGGTTTACATATTCTTTAAACTGAAAAATAAACAATGTATGGCAGGCAGGATTATTAAACCAGAAGAGACCCTATTGCTTTTCTCTTACTGTCATCATTTCTGTATGCTAAGCTGTACATGTGCAGCTCAGTGTACATTTATGGCAATGCTCTGTTACATGGCAAAGTAACTCCCACATGCATGCACGGGAGTGACGTCATCATGGCTCGGCCAGTCTAGCAGCCTAAGGATCCATGCACACTGGGCGTTTTAATAAGGCTGGTAGCGTTAGCTGTGTAAAGTCACGTTAAAAATGCAGGTTTTTTAGTGTTGTGCATTAGTGGTTAGCAGCTTTTTTTTTGCGTTGCTAGCTTTTTTTATACCCCCCAAATTGTTTTCTTCAAAAAAAATCCAAAAATGCCAGTTTTCTGTGTTTTACTGCGTTTTTCAGCGTTACAGCTAAAAACGCCACTAGAAATCCACTAGTTCTGGGTTTTTTTCCAGCCAAAAGATGTCCCTGCCAAAAAACACTGATTAAAGCCTATGTGTGCATGGACACATGAGATAACATGCTGAGGAGTTTACTGGCTGTAGAATAAAATGCCAAAAGCAGCAGCTGTAAAAAAGTCCAGTGTGCATGAGGACTAAAAGTCAGAACCCAGAAATAAGACCAGGAGATTATTATTATTATACAGTATTTATAAAGCGGCAATAGTTCGCTCAGCGCTGTACATTACAATGATGATGGAAATGCCTCTGACCGACAGGAGTGCTGCCACTGCACTGCTAGATGCAACCAATTAGCAGGTAAGTATGGTATAATTTGCTAATATGCGGTGAATATGAACACATTATGGCCAAAAGCTCCTGGGGGCCCATTTTCAAAAATCTTTTGCAAAGGGTTAATTTCACTTTAAACACAAATTCCAGGTATGGTATATTTTGACATAGTTACATTGGCCAAGCCTGGCCAATGTAACTATGCATATACAATACTAGTCCGATGCCCCTGGAAGCTGGAAATCACTGAAGTGGACACCACTACTTGCAAAGCATTCTCTAACTGGATGAGGTGGAGAGTGTGATGTCACTTCCTCGACTCTCCATGCTGTCCAATCAGAAAACACTTTGCATTCATTCAGGAGATGCAGCTTTCTCTGAATGGCCGAGCAGCCAACCTCCTGTGTTCAGAAAGCAGAAAGGCCAACCTGGAAGCAAGTGGAGATCACTGGAGTAGTGGTGATCAGTGCTTTCCAGCTTCCAGGGTGATCAGCCAGGTATGGTGCATACTGTACATAGTTACATTGCTCAAAGCTGGACTATTGTAACTATGCAAAAATATACCATACCTGGAATTCATCTTTAAGGTTCCATTCACACCTGTGCGTTTTGGGTGCACTGCGTTAAAAAAATCTTGCTTTCTGCATCTTTAATGTGCATTTATCAAATTCAAAACACACATTATATATAGTTCTACAGTACCACATGTACAATACACATCAAATGAAATGCAACGCACAGGTGTGTGAACCTACCCTAACAATGAATGAGAATTCAGATTTGACAGATCTGATCTAAACTGGAAGTGGATGGGTTTCTATTGTTACTGCTCTTTGTACTGTTCTACTGAAAAAGCCGGTATGTGTTTATGTCGTGTTGGCATTTACTATCTGAGCAGGTGCTCAGGGATTGTGTAAATATCTGTACACTTGAATATCTTGCAGAGCGGCCAAATCAAACAGCATGTGACAGAGAGTGTGCAGTGTGAAAAGCCTGGGACTTCTATCACATGAAGGAAGGCAAAGTACAACACACGTTTCATCATAACTCTGTGCTGTGTACTGAGAAAACCGCTCCTGATGGACACACTGCTATGGTGAGCACAAAACACAAGTGTATGAAAGTACACTGTACAGCGACAGCTATGTTATACCAAAAAGTTATACATGATGTACATTTTATTTAAAGGGGATCTATCATTTAAAAAAATAAATAACCTTCAACTTATATTATGATTTTAAAAGCCTTGACTATTTACTTACTATTGTTTATAGTAAGGTGGCAACCATATTTATACACAGGGCCGGCGATACCACTAGCCAAACTAGGCAGCCACCTAGGGTGCAGTCACAGCCAGGGCCACCGATAGGGCAGTACAGCTGGCTCTGCTGTACCATTAATTATATTTTCAGCCATATACTGTATGCAGACAGTCATACAGCACCTTCTGTACTGTGTGGTCATCATCATAATAATGACAATCACATAAGCACCATGAGATG